TTCCCATCAATCAAGTATCTGATCGCATTTCTGGCCTGGTGAGCCAAAACCGCTTTAAAGAAAAACTTGGTATTAGCATCCCCATCCTTAAGCCATCGGATTCTTGACTTTACTCTGTAAAAAACCTGCAAAGCAGAGTCCAGAAACCTCCACTTTTTTCTCGCCACAAATTCCCTTCTAAATAATGCAGCAGAAGGTGAGACTAAGAGCTCACTCTGAATGTCTTGCAACTCTTCCATTGCGAGCTTAGTCTTTTGCTGAATATTTCCAAAACCAATCTTGTTTAATCTTCTACAAACCTTCTTTGCTGCTTTCAACTTCTGACCCAACGAAAACAGCTGTGAACCAACCCGAATGTCCTCCTGCCACGCAGCCGTGATCTCATCCAAGAACTGGGGAAGGGTGGAGAGGAAGGAAAAATATTTGAAGCTAACCTTTCTGAACTCTGAGACCGAATGGAGATCCACAATGCAGGGGGCATGGTCAGATTCACCAGGTGCTTCAAACTGAGCGACAATATCTGGGAAAGCTTCACGCCAAGCTTCATTTCCCAGTGCCCTATCAAGCTTCCGAATAATGGGGTCTTCATCTCTTTGATTAGACCAAGTGAAGAAGATACCTCTTGTTTCAAGGTCTTCTAAATCGCTATGAAGCAAACAACTTCGAAATTCATCCATACCTCTTATAGGTAAATCATACGGAAGAATAGAAAAATGCTCCGAAGCAGAGAGAATTTGATTAAAGTCGCCAAGGATCAAGAAAGGTTTGTTCCTGACCAAGCGATGGCTAGAAACCTGTTGCATTTCCTCCCACAAGCTCCTCCTCTGAATTTCCGTGTTAAACGCATAAACGAAACCCACTGTTAAATAGGTTTGCGTCTCCGGTTCGAAGACACCACACACAATCATCTGTTCTGACTTCTTATACACCACAACTGATAATACTGGATCCCAAACTATCCAGATTCTTCCTCCAGCAACCTCTGAATAGTTTGAGCAAAAATTCCACCCCTGGAGACACCCAGAAGCAATTCGAACTGAATTCTCCTCCCTAACATGGGTTTCCATAAAAGCTCCAACTGAGAAGCCACGATTATTTAACCAATTCCGAAGAGATCTCTGCCGATCTGAATGATTTAACCCTCTAACATTCCAAGAAAAAATCTTCATATGTACAGGTTTGAAGACCGACTTGCGGTTAGAGAGATGGTTTCTTTCCCGAGGATTGACCTCGAGTCCGAAAAGCGAAATCGTTTTTAGGAGGTGACTTAAGCAGCGAAGCTTTCCAAAGGGCTTCTTGTCTCAAAGCTCTTCGAACCACCTTAGGATGCTTAAACCAAATTCTATCATCCTCTTCTGGATCAACACTTTGTTTTAAATGAGGATCCTCCTCTTGAAGTTGTTGCCCTTCATCCTCAACTGTAGCTTCTGCAATTTGTTGAACATTTTCTTTGCAAGGAGCACTCAACTTATCCAACCCACCACTTTCTTCAGACATAGAGGGCGAATTAAGAACTATAGAAACCTCTCCAGTAACAACTTCCTGATTAGAGGTTTCCACAATCTCTTGTCCCTCAATGAGAGCCAGGGACGAAGCAGCTACATTAACGGAGGCAGAAGTGAGGGAAATTTCAGCTTTCTTTGATTTCTTCTTCTTTTTAGCTTTCTTTCGACTCACAGAAGGAACAACTGAAGACACCTGAGCATCTTGTAGCTCCACCTTTTCAAAGTTAGAAGAATCGACTTGTCCAGTGATCAAGTTAATTTTTGTAGAAGTAGCGACCATTTTCTCTTGAGATGGTGCCTCCTGCTCTGTTTCCTTCTTCTTCTTAATCAGAGGCTTAAGACATCGATTAATAAGATGACCAAACTTGTCACAGTTCAAACACTTTGGAGGAAGGCAAGGATATTCAGCTTTGATTCTCACTGCATTCCCTTGAACATCCCTCACCTCAATGAGCTTCGGGGGGTCACTGTCCAAGGTAATTTCTACCTTGACCTTTGTATCACCAAAGTGGTAGGGATCGAGTCTAGATTTCTCAGTGTGGAGCGGCTCTCCAATCGCACTAGCCACCACACTAATTCCATTGAGAGAATATAGTTGAGGGGGAATACTCTTTAAAACAACCCAGGTAGGGGCCGTTCTAAGATCTTCCTCCTGAAAGGTTTCTTCTGCAGACCACTTATGAACCGAGAAGCCACAATGGTCTACTTGCCAATATCCAACCTGTAGAACCCACTCCCTGGTCTGGACTGAAGGAACGTAGATAAGACAGCTCGTGCTGGACAGAGTACGAACAGTGATTCTGCCAAATTTTCCCCAAACTGGGTTCAAATCAGCGATGATTTTTGTTGGATGAGGTCTTCGGCCATGGAAATGAGCAACTAGGTGATCTTTCCACATCTCCGACGCTTGAAGAACAATTGCCGGAGGGGCTTGCACCACCGGGGTGCCATCTTCGAGGTAGATCGGATCTGAGGTTTTGTGGAGGTTTCTGAGAGACGCTTTGAATCTCTCGGCGTACGTCGGAGCAGATGAAGCTGGAATCGCAGCCGGAGTAGAAGGAATCTGAAGCTTTACTTCGATTTTTGAGTCATGAGCCCTAACTTCGTTTTCTGAAATTGAAACCGGAGAGAGAGGAAGGCTCGGGAGAACATTAACTAGGTTAGCCATTTTTGTAAGAAGGGGGGGGAGGTTTCTCGTCCTCAGGCGTGAGGCCCAGTGACGGCGGCGACAAAGAGAGACCTAATCGCACATAATATCCAGGAGAGAGAAAAAATGAGTTTTTATCCGCCGTTGGTTCTTCTTTGGCTATTTTGTTTTTTTTTTTTTTTTTTTGGGTTTGGAAGGATTTTTTTGAGTTTTTCATAGTTCTTGTCATATAACTTTCATGATTATCTTATTCATAACAATCCAATATGAATATGAGGCAGTTTGGAGATGAGTTGGTTTGACGTTCTACGTAGAATTAGCTTAAGAAGACGCGTGTGATTTAGAATTGTTTTCTTTCTTTATTTTTGTGTCTATGGTGTTAATTTATGGTGCCACTATCGTAATGTATCATCAGGTTTGTTTCATTGTCCTGGTTGTCATAAATTGTGTATTTTTGAAGTCATAAATTATGTAGTTTTGATAATCTGTAGAGGCTTTCTTCCTATCCAACTGGTTTACGATTTGATATATTACTTAGGCCTTGATTGGTAAAGCAGATGATAAAGCAGTAGCAGTATGCTGCAGAAGCAGTATGCTACAGAAGCTATATGCTTTCATTAAATTTTTCAATAAAGTGATTGACAGAGTATTAGCAGTATACAATTTTAAAATTGTCATAATAGTTAGTAGAATAATATATTTCTTTTAAAATATATATATATAATATATATTAATAATATATAATTTTATTAAAAATAATTAATTTTCATTATGTAAATTATATTTAAAAATTAATTTTTTTAAAAAATATTAATTTTTTTGGATATAACATATTCCTCATATATAAAATTATAGTTATAATTTAATTAATTATTATTAAATTATAATTATTATTAAATAAATTAATTAATAAATTATAATTTATATATAAATTGTTATTATTTATTTATTGGCAGAGCACTAAATTACTCATATATAAAATTATCATAAAAGTTAATATATAATTTATTTATTAGTGTCTAAATAATATGTTTATATAATATATAAATTATATTATGTTATGTTTGTTATTAAAAATAATGAATGATATATGTAATTATATAAATTATATTATATTTTAAATGTTAAATATTGTTCTTTTAAAAATAATTAATTATAATTTTTCTTTGTATTTTTTTAAAATATAAATTTATATTTAATTATAAAAATATTGTTTATATTTTTAAACAAAAATAAATTAAGTATATATAAATATTATTAAGTTTTATATTTTCTATATGCAAATGCTCTCCCAAAAACTCTATATGAGAGCATTGAGCAAGAACATTTGGAGAGCATTTGCATTTGGTAAATGCTTTTCTAAATGCTTCTTTGCCAAATGTTGATTGGATAATAGAGAGCATAATGCTTATGCTAATGTTCTACCAATCAACCCCTTAGTTGTTGGGCCATAATGTTTTGTTAAACATTAATTATCAGAAGTAATTTTCAGATGAGTATAAGGTTGTTGAAGTCTATAATAAAAGTGGATATTATATTTATTTAATTAGTTATTTTTACGTTTTTTTATCTAAAGTGATTTTTTATTTGTTGTCCAATCTATGTTTTACGACATTTTAATATTTAGTTATTATCTTCTTTTTCTGTGTGTTTTTTGTTTAATTGAAACACATTCTAATCTCATATTTTTATAACTCTAAATAAAATTAACATAATTTTCTATTTTTATTAGTTTTCTTAGAGATCATAATTTGTATTAGCATGTAAAAAAATATTTTCATTATTGTAATTGTATTACAGTATCTTAAATATTTTATCAAGTTTTTAATATATATAGCAAATGAAGTATAACTTTTATTATTTCAGTTAGTATAAATTCTCAAAAAATTGCTTTGTTTCTTTTTTTGTACATACTTTTGAATCCAATAAGTAAATATATAATTCACTGTTATAGAAAATTATTTTAAATTTGGTAAATACAATGTATAAATATATTACTAAAGTTTAAGTCAGCCAAATACAAATGTGTAGCTTTGTAAGATATAACCATCAAGAAACAAAATATAATAAACAAACACTTTCCTATGAAAAGAAATGAGAGATCCAAAAATGTTCCAACAAAAGAACAAAGGAATTTATTTTAAATAAAGGTAAGTGTGGATAACTTTTGGGATTCATTAAAAAATTTAGTGACTATGCAGGCAGTGTAAGTAAACGTACACAAATGAACCTAACAGCTTTAAAAAAAAACGTACACAAACGCACCTCATGTAACAGAGTTTCTTGTGCCGCGAGTTGTTTTACAACACAAATATTTTGATTGCAGAAAGTGTGATATGTTGTGTGACCTAAGATAAGACGCGGTTAGACTTTACATTCTGAAGCTCAATCTGAACCTCCTGCCTCAATTTCCCATCAACAATAATAATGATGCTGTCATCTATTAGCGGGTTATCATGTGGCTTTAACCATTTCCCAATCTGCATATCCCTAAAAATCTCTGGATCTCCAAACGCCAATGCAGTTGTTATCAGAGTTTGGATATCAAATGTGCTTCTCCCATTATGTCATCAGCAGAGAATGTATCATAATCACACTTGCTGCAATCAACAGAGAAACCATAAGATATATATAACAGCTCTTGTCAATAACAAAAGTGCTTAGGATATTAAGCTTACCAGTTTTACAGTCTCAGGAACATACAACATGAGTTCTTGATTCCGTACGGGGTTCAAATTACTATTCCCAACTGTTGTTTGAAGTTTCTGAACAATCATCAAAACATGATAATATCTTTTAAGATCCACAGAGTCAATAGATGCATGTTAGTAAACAATCAGAAAGAGATACACTTACTTGCTTCCCTAGATTTAAGACAACATAAGGATCACTTGACATCATGTCTCTGAAAGCTTAGTTAGTACCATTCTTAACAGTCACCTTTAACAATCCAATAAACGCTACCATTCCTTCCTCAAACTATATCAACTGTATATAAATCTCATCAAGAAGATTATATCAAGAAAAAAAACTGTTTAAATTTTTTTGCAAGTTAGAAGCTTGAGAGAATTAGAGAAATATCCATAATGGAGGGTCTAATTAGTGACTTACCCATTGAATGATATTTGGGTATGAAAATATACATTTTTGTTTGGTTTGGACGAAAATGCTCTTTGGTAGCTGATACACTTTTCTGCTCGTTACAGAGAAGTGACTGTCCTATTACGTATACCTACATCACTTTTGTCCACATGTTTGCTAGATTTTTTTAAATGCTAACAATATTATCCAATAATAATATTTTTAAAAATATAATATCAAAATATTTTAATATAAATAAAATAATTTAATATTTGATATGATTGAAAACATAAATTACAATTGATTGCAAGATCTCAACATCTCTAAAATCTACAATTTGTTATAAATTCGATATTACATGTATTTGTTAACAGCTAACACATCTGTTAACATTCACAAAATTTATTAACAGTTAATGTCTCTGTTAATAATCACCAGTGTCGATTGGTAACCAAGTTGTTAACGGTTAACAAATAATGTAGATGTTAACAGAGGTTTTAGTTGTTAACAAATACATGCTGCAGATGTTAACAGAGGTGTTAGTTGTTAACAAGTATACGTATCAGAGGTGTTAACGGAAGTGTTAGATATTTATAAAAAATTATATATCTTAATAGAGGTGTTATGCATTAGATGTTAACAAATAAGTATCACTGAATTTTGTATTTCCCAATCACATTAAGTAAATTAAAAATTATTATTTAAGAATCAAAGTGAACTCAAAATAAAAAATATTTAACATATTTATTGTGCATGTAATTCATTTAGAAAAATGATAATAGGAGAGAAGAGCATTGATAAAAACGAAAGGAGAGGAGAGATAATTAGGCTGACATGCCTATGGGTGAAATAGGAAAGAGAAACCAAGGGTGTTTTACTCATTATTTTGTAAATGTCACATCATGGATAAAACTCTAATTAGATGTTCATTTAGGATATACCAGCAAATAATCTCTAGAAGCTTACTATCTTATTTGAAGACAATTTGAGCGAAACTATCCATGAATTTTGTTACAAAACTTGATTTAAGAAAAGGTGATTTCTTTGTCGAGCAAGCTTTCCCCGTTGTTCTCCTCAAGCTCGGTTTTGGAAACTCTTGGAGTTCAGACTTTGACCTAAACAAAACAAAAAAAAAAAGATTCAAGATTTTGAGTAGTACATCAAGAAATAAAATAAAACTTTGTGTAGGTATTGTTGTTACCTAGGCCAAGCAGTTCACTATTATTACGTAACCTGGAGTACCATTCTTCAGGAATGGGTGTAACCGGTTCAGTTAACTCATCAAATGGGGTTCATCACTGAACCGTATCAATTGAACAGTCTTACAACCTAAAATTCTGATTACACCAAGAATGCAGTGGCTTGTAAGTGGGAAGACGATGATCAGTTATGGTGGCTGAAATGAGTGTTGCCTGAAAATGATTAAAAACAAAAAAAAAAATAGTAAACAACATACCGAAAGTATAATTCTGATAAAATGAATCTAAACACCATGTGTGTTCAAAATAATGAGGAATGTGAGTTTAAAGAACAAAAAATAACAATAAACAACCAGATTCAAACCGGACGGCTGGTCCTTCTTTGCCTTGATCCTCCTCTTCTCCGTCACTACCGCTCTCCTCCTCCTGTTGTGCCATATACTCGTTTGAACGATTGTGTTTCACCACGAATGAAAAGTAAATGGTGAGGTTTACATAATCAACACATCTCACTCATATCCCGGATAATAAGTATATTAAGAGAGATTTTGAATATCCGTCTGAGAGGATGTAAGCTCACCTATTTATATCGCAGAGAAACCGATTCTAAGAAGATACACACACTGAAGTTGAGATCCTGACCAAAAAAGTAAAAAAGATGTTTAATGTGATTAATCAGTAAACCGATCAGATTGGATTGATGGGAAGGAGGTGAAAAGATGTGAAGTCTCTTGAATGGTGTTGATGGGAAGAACCCTAATCGGAGTTGTCGCTTTCACTGAAGTCCAAATCCCCAGCAGACTTCGCTTCTTGGGCCAAACCGAAACACAAAAAAAAAAAGCCAAAGTCCACATGTTTAACGAAGTGTACCATTTTATAGAATATAGAATACGTGTCACATGCAGGTGAGAGCAATGTGTACATGACATCATAAAGAGTGATAAAAGTATTCTTTATATATATTGATTGATTGATTATTTATCCAATAGATTAAACAATCCAATGCATAGATACTTTCAAAAATGGATGAATAAGTTATCATATTATTATATTTGATTTTTGCGTATAGCAAAGAATTCAAAAAGAGAAATAATTGTTTGACATGGATAAACTCAATCTTCATCTACAAATTTGGATAACATAACCAAAATATCAAATAATTAAATATTGAAAAATATCTTTTAACCAACTTTATAAAAGAAATAGTTTTAGAATATAAGATAAATGTCTATCATATTATAAGTACACTAGGATTAGATCCGCGCCTTGCGCGAAATAAGATGATTAAATTTGTTGTATTTTTTGAAGATAAGAAGACATTATATCTGTTTTATTTGCATATTAGTTTGTTTTGGATTGGTTGTTTCAGGTTTTAATATCGTCCAATTATATGTCTATATTATAAATATTGTCTTTTTGGTTAAATTGCGATTTTGTCTCATATATCTGTTTTTTTTTGTCATCCACACGACATGGAAACACGTAAGATGAAAGTATATTGCTGTCAATACCATTAAGAGTATTGAGACAATCCCAAATCTCCTTTTAGTCTCGAGATGGGTTGTGAAAAGGCTCATTTCGGAAGCAAATTCTCGAGTTGTATAACGAAATCTCCAATCTCAAGAGCCCTTAAACCTTTCATATATATATGTCGACAATTTGTTCAATAGCTCATGTCCACGTCCTTGCCTATGGATACAAAAATCGACGTTAAAAACTTATGCCCAAAAGTCTAAAACTACAGAACCAATCTCACCAACCTACGTAGTGAAGATATAGAGTTTTCAGAGCACCACTACTATACGGCCTTGGGATCTCTCGCAGACAACACATTTCACCATTTAGATCTATCCTCAGTACACTAACTACCTCAAACTTAGCAAGGTTGAGTTCAATCTCTTCACGCTACACACGAGCCATGTCTAAACCAAGATCGCGTTCATGGGCTCCGGTACGTTGTCCTTCACATCCATCATCTTAGATACGTCTCACCGCTCTAATAACGACGTTCCAGAACTTTGACATCGACCCTCAAGCCAATTCACTTGCCTCCGAACTTGTCTCATGCGATATTGAACTTTGTAGTTTTAAAGTATCTCGTGTGTTTTATAATTGAAGTAAATAAGATAAACAATTGTTGAAGTAAATAAGGTAATATATTGTGAGAAGGTAGTAAATAAGGTAATAAATTGTGAAAAGGGAGTAAATAAGGTAATAAATTGTGAGAAGGTGCTGTGAAAACATTTAATGCAAAATGCTTATCTTTTAATATATAAGGGATATCGGAATTGTACTTCCAAGATTCCGTTAACTCAAACCATAAATGAAGTCTTAATTGAAAACGTGAGTTTTTGAATAAAAAGATTGCATCCATATTCCATACCAAATCTAATCTGTAAATAACAGTTTATTAAAAAAAAAACTTGCTGTTATGAGATCGAGATGTTATGATCTCTGTCATCTCAGTTACCTTCGTCTTTAATAACATCGATAAACCTAAAAACTTGTAACGTGGAAGCTTTAATTTCAGTCTCTAAAGCTGTGCGCTCTCTAATAACATAAATAATATACCGATTTTGTATTGAGATGATTAATGCTAACATTTTACCCCAAAAAAAACATTACATGCAGTGGTACCTGGTACGTCTACCAAAAATGGAGATTATCATTTTTTCTAAATCTTTTTTTTTGAAGAAAAAAATTAAATCCAAATCTATTAAAGATATAGACCTAGTCTCAGATACTACATGAATAGACACTCTCTCCAATATTTAGATGGGTCGTAATTAATGTATTCATATATATATAGTCACATGTGAAATTAATAATTTTGAATTAGAGGAGAATCGATCCCTCACTTAGACCAACATACCAATTTCTCCTTTAGTTAAATCCTACAATATAATTAAATCAATTATGTTTATCTAAATAATTTTTAATTTAAATTTTGTAGGTTTCATTTTATAATCTTTGTAATAGTTGGTTTGTAGGATACATATCTTGTTTTGCAAGTTATATATCTCCAATATACTTCAATCACATATAAAATAAAAGTCCTATATTTTCAATTAAATTCTTAAAGAGTAAAAATGGAGTGAGTTCTACTAACTAGTCGAAACATTTGTCTTAAATTGTATCGTTTAGTGTTCTGATTTCTCTCAAATCCAAAACCCTGAATTTGGGAGATACTATATATTTTGCTCTCGACTTATTTTTGGGTTCACCTCTTAGGGTGAACCTCCCCAAGGGTGAATCTATAGGTTCACCATCCAATAATATTGTATTATTTCATATTTGATATCTTTAAAAAAAACAAAATCTTATTAATTTATTTATGTTTTTAAAAATAAAAATACAAAAAAAAAAATAATTAATAAAAACAGAAAATAAAATGTTTTAAGGAAAAAATTTTAACACTAAACCCTAAACTCTAATCCTAAACTCTAAACCCGTGGGTAAATTATAAACCTTTGGATAAATCTTATAGCGTTTTAAAAATTTATTGTTTATGATTTACCCAATAGTTTAGGATTTATGATTAGAGTTTAGGGTTTAATGTTTATGATTTACCCAAGGGTTTGGGGTTTAGTGCTTTAGTGTTAAAATATTTGTTTTAAAGAATTTTTTTATAAAAGTTATCCAAAGGTTTACGATTTATCCAAGGGTTTAGGGTTTATGATTTAGTGTTAAAATATTTTTTATTAAATATTTTCCTTTTTTATTAATGATTATTTTCTATTTTTGTATTTTTATTTTTAAAAACATAATATAACTTAACGAGATTTGTTTTCTTTTAAAATAACAAAATATGAAATAATACAATCCTATTAGATGGTGAACATTTAGGTTCATCCTACGAGATGAACCCAAGAATAACTCTTTGTTCTCTGACATCAAATTTACGAACCTAAGAATTGAATTTTGCTAGGCAAAATGGAATTGCGTCGGTGAGAGACTGAGAGTAATTAGGGCTGGGCATCATTACTAGTTACTCGCCTTAAACTCGGTATTTGACTTGTACCCGCCTTAAAAATTAAAGTACTCGATGTTGTCAAGGCAAGTAACAAGGCGATAATTTTCATTACTTGCAAGACTAAGTCAAGTATCAAGTATCATTATTATTTTTTGTACTTGACTCGTTCCGCCCCGTTACTTGTTCCATTACTTGCTATTTGTTACATGATCTATTAATTAGTTTTTCATACTTGTCTTTTCTTTTACTTGCACGTAGAACTAGACGTAAAAACTCACTATTTTCTTATATGTATTACTTATTTTGTATCCAATCTTGATCTTTGAATACTCGTCGTTATCTAGTCAAGTATTACACAGCAGCAAATATTAACAATTTAGTTATATGATTTGTTATTACGTCGTTATCTAGTCAAGTATTACACAGCAGCAAATATTAAAAATTTAGTTATATGATTTGTTATTACTTGTTACTTATTTAGAGAAGATATTTTTGTAATCGTGATCATTATACAATGTTTATATACCGTAATATGCATTTTTAATTTATCTTTTTATAATATGAATAAATATTCTGTTTAAAATAATTTACATGTTAATTTAAATAGAATAAAGAAAACAAACTTTCATATCTATTTCTAACATAATATTATTTAGTTAGTAGTTCTTAAATATTCCGAAAAAGCTCGTAAATAGTTCACAAGTATTCGTAAATAGTAAGTAATGGAGCAAGTCAAGTAATTTGCAAGTCATTTATTTTTCATCAAGTATTCGAAATAGCAAGTACTCGTTTTAAACAAGTCAAGTACAAGTCGAAAATTTTATTATTCGTACAAGGCAAGTCAAGTCGCAAGTACATGCAAAATAGCAAGTACTTGCCTTGCGCCCACCCCTAAGAGTAATAGGCAAGATCCATATCTTAAGAAAATATAAATTTGGTATTTATTATCAAATCAAGAAGTGATCTTCCAACAAAATACCACCACGAGCCTTGTAATGGATTCTCACACTTACTTCAATGCACACCAGCTATTTTTCACGTGTCCATATTCGTATTTAAATATATATATACATGTGATGGTGGTCTAATATGTCTGCGTTTCGACACATCTATATATTAACGTTCGACAAAAAGAAGAGAGCATAACGACGCGAACAAACATATAACTGAAGTATGGACCTCAAGCTCAGGCCAAGCTTCTTCTTCTCGTTTCTCATTTTCATCTTTCTTCTCCAAAAACCCGCTTTGGTATCAGCATCTAGTTCTAAATGTATATCCATTGAGCGCCAAGCTCTTCTCACCTTCAAACAATCACTCACTGATCCTTCTGGTCGACTCTCTTCTTGGTCCGGACCTGACTGCTGCAACTGGCGCGGTGTTCGCTGTGACCGCAGAACCAGCCACGTCATCAAGATTGATCTCAGAAACCCGAATCAAACAGTTTACTCTGATGAGTTTAAACAGAGTTGCTTGGGGGGTAAGATAGATCCGTCTTTGACCCATCTCAAGTACTTGAGCTATCTGGACTTAAGTTCAAATGAGTTCAACGGCCTGGAGATCCCTGAGTTCATCGGCCACATCGTTAGTTTAAGGTACCTGAATCTTTCTTTCTCATCGTTTTCCGGTGAAGTTCCTGCGAGTCTTGGGAATTTGTCGAAGCTCGAGTCTCTTGATCTGTATGCTCAGTTATGGCCTTCGTTTGATTTGCGCGCAAGCAACCTCGGGTGGCTTTCGGGTCTGTCTTCTTCACTGACTTACCTAAACATGGCGTGTCTGAATCTGAGCGGTGCCGGTGAAAACTGGTTACAAGATTTCACTAGACTCTCAAAGCTGAAGGAGTTGCATTTGTCCAGCTGTGGGCTCAAGAACTTACCTCTCTCTTTATCTTCGACTGCGAATTTGAAGCTCCTTGAAGTTCTTGACTTGTCTGAAAACTCTTTCAGTTCGCTGATACCCAACTGGCTATTTGATCTTACCAGCCTCAGAGAGCTATTCCTCCAAGCAGATGATCTCAAGGGCTCCGTTCCTTCCGGATTCAAGAAGCTGAAGCTTATAGAGACACTAGATCTGTCTAATAACGGGTTCACGGGAGGAATTCCAGCGGTTCTTGGAGGTCTTCCTCAACTGAAGTATCTTGACCTTTCTGGGAACTCTTTCCAAGGTCAAATCCACAAGTTTCTTGACGCTTTCTCCAAAAACAAAGGAAACAGCCTGGTCTATCTCGATCTTAATTACAACAAGTTAGTTGGTACATTGCCTGAGTCGCTTGGGGCGTTGAGGAATCTACAGATTCTGTATCTTGCATCTAATTCCTTCACGGGCTCGATCCCTTCCTCAATAGGAAACATGACTTCACTGAAGCAACTTGATCTCTCTTACAATTCCATGGACGGAGAAATCGCTTCAAGCTTGGGGAAGCTTGAGGAGCTTGTGGATCTAAACTTGATGGCTAACAAATGGGAAGGTGTTCTGTTGAAGTCTCATTTCGTCAATCTTAGAAGCTTGAAAAGCTTCAGTCTCACAACTGAACCAGACAGATCTCTCGTCTTTAAGGTGCCATCGACATGGGTTCCTCCTTTCAGACTGGAGCTGATCAGCATCGAGAGCTGCCAGATCGGCCCTACGTTTCCAATGTGGCTTCAAGTACAAAACAAACTCAACTCCGTCACACTCAGGAACACTCGTATTGCGGATAAAATACCTCACAGCTGGTTCTCGGGAATAGCTTCTGTTGTAACTTCCCTAACTCTAGAAAACAACAGAATCAAAGGTACATTACCTCAAAATCTTGTGTTCCCAAATTTGATAACCATTGATTTGAGCACCAACAACTTTGAAGGCCCTTTCCCTCGCTGGAAAACAAACGCAGCAGAGATTTATCTTTACCAGAACAACTTCTCGGGTTCTCTTCCACTTAACCTTGGTGACTTGATGCCAAGAATGGAAAGGATATACCTCTTTAACAACAGCTTTACCGGAGAAATCCCATTGTCTCTATGTAGAGTCACCGGACTGCACATCCTTAATCTAAGAAACAACCATTTCTACGGTAGTTTCCCAAATTGCTGGCGTAGCTCGTCCGAGCTTTATGGAATTGACGCGTCTGAGAATAACATATCAGGCGAAATACCAGAGTCTCTCTGTGTGTTACCTGGTCTAATTGTCTTGCTTCTGAACCAGAACGCACTAGAAGGTAACATCACAAACACTTTACAGAACTGCTCAAGCCTTACACACATTGATCTTGGAGGAAACAACCTGACTGGGAAACTTCCATCGTGGCCAAGTAAGATGTCTGATTTATTCATGCTTCGTCTGCAAGGTAACTCCTTTGAAGGCCAAATCCCAGATGATCTCTGCATTGTCCCGAGTCTACACATTCTGGATCTCTCAGAAAACAAAATAACGGGCCCGATTCCAAAATGCATCAGCAGTCTAACAGACATTGTGCAAGGTCAAGGCTTCGAGAATGAGCAGGGTATTGTCTCCGTGATTACAAGAAATAGCAAATACCAAGAGATTGACTACAGCATAAATCTCTCTGGAAACAACATCACTGGAGAAATCCCATCAGAGATCATGGACCTCTCCTACCTTCGAATCCTGAATTTATCAAGAAACTCCATTGCAGGAAATATTCCCGGTAATATTTCTAAACTTGGTCGCTTGGAGAAGCTTGATCTATCAAGAAACAGCTTTTCTGGTGCCATTCCTCAGAGCTTGGCAGCGATATATTCTCTGCATACGCTGAATCTTTCGTTCAATAAACTGGAGGGGACAATACCTAAGCGTTTGAAGTTTGAAGATCCGTCCATTTACGTTGGAAATGAGTTACTCTGTGGGAAACCACTTCCTAAAAAGTGTCCAAGGTATTAAGCTTAAGGTGATAAGATAATGTATTCGTTTACTCTCCAATATTAATAATAAAGTTATCAGCTCTACGCTGACAATCTTGAAACCACTTGGTTGTGTTTGCTTGAGTCATGATTTCTAACTTCTACAAAGAGGACTACTCTCATTGTATTCACCAAGAAAACCCTTGTGCATAAACAGGTCCATAATCTTTGACAAAACAGCCTGGTAGAGACTGATAAAAGCATAGCCTCCATGCGCCACAATTACACAGTGAGCATCATTACTTTCAGAAGCATCACTTGCAAAAACGAACCAGCCAATCATTTCACAAACAACCAATTCAAAGCTTCTAGGGTAAACCAAAGATTTTTTTGACAGCTGATACATAATCTACATGCAAAAACATCAGCATTGTTGTTTTCGTGATTTCATCATTGCAATCGACATCTCTTCCTTGCATTTCTTCTACAATTACAATTGATCACAAGAAGCTCTAGGATGTAGACGGTGAGGACGTTACTCGGAACATGCAGAAAAGATCAAGTCTAGGAAAAAAAAACAAAGAAAATCAAATAGACTAGAACCGGTTTACATGTTAAAAATCATTATAGAAAAAAACAAACAAGACCTAACTCTGACTTTAGTAAGAAACTAAATCAGAAAGTTACTCATCTGATTTAAGAATATCGGTTTACTTGGAAATCAAAAGACAAAATAAGTCAGAAATTATTGTTTTCACCTTAGAAACAATCATTTACTGATCTTTTTATGTCAATATTCTTTTCTTGGTCCATACCTGACTAATGCAAGTGGACCTGTATTCTCTATGACAGCTGAATCAGCCGCGTGTTGTCTGATCTTAAAAAAAAAACTGAATCAAAATAGTTAACTACGAATAAAAGTAGAAATAATATTGACTAAAATTGATCTAAAAATCATAAAACCTTCTAAAGTATCCATAACCAAAATCTATCAAACTAGAAATAAAAGTTTTAAATTTTTTTGATAAATTCTAAACTTGAGGACAAATTTCATAAAATAAATTTGGTTTCTTTAGATAATTAGGAAAGTCTCGGTGACTATAAACTTTGAGCTCTTCGCATGAAAATAATACACCATAGGATAGTTCATTTTCCAAGTTTCCAATATTTGAGCTCTTCGCATGAAAATAATACACCATAGGATAGTTCATTTTCCAAGTTTCCAATATTTGAGCTCTTCGCATGAAAATAATACACAAGTCTTAACGGACTTTCTCGATCAAACTTAGGGTAATTTCCAACCTAATATACTAATAAAAAGACAAGAACAAAAAGTCTATAGATTCATCACCACCATAGCCCCAGATCCACCTAAATATGATGTATTTACCCTATTTACTAATAATAAATATCCAATATTGTTTATGTTTTTTTAATTATAATATCAATATTATTAAAACAGAAGACCATCTTTTGGCCTTTTTTGAGGTGTCCTCTTATTTCAACAATATTTATAATTCTCTGTCACTAACTTATTTTTAAGCAATGATTTTATTTAAATGCTTTTATATTTTTAGTAAATCACAGATAACCATCTCTAAATTTCGTGGAATCTATTTCTACCTTTTTAGATAATTTATCATGTGTAATTATAACTATACATGAGATATTCTTCATTAAAACGTGCCTTTGCAAAAAAAAAACACACACACACATAAAAATGATTTTGTGATGGAGCCGACTATAATTGTGTAATTCACAACCATTGGAATATGTACAAAATACTGAAAGAAGTCATGAGAGTTCTGGACAAGAGATTTGCCAACCTATGTCTTCTTACAGTCATTTAACGTTTTTCATATGGATAATGTTTTCTAACAGTCATTTAACATTTTTATTTAAACAGTTTCCAGTACTATAATTTCATATGTTTGAATTAATGTTTTCTACCATGAATATTGTCATTTTGCATATGATGTTCTATAATATTGGATAACATGGAAGACAATGTTAACGCTTTTAGAAACCATATTAAACTAAAATATCGCAATTAGAAACAAATAGAGTCCACAAACTTAATAAATGAGAGTATGTATGAAGAAGATTCTGTGTAAACTAATAACTCCAATATTTGCAGCAAATTAAATCTGCATTTATTTGTTTTCTTAAGACATAAAATTGGTGATTTTATACTATTTATTGTTAATGATATATATAAATATATATATTATTTCAAAAAGATTATGGATCTGTGATAGACATATAATCAGGAATTTTAACAAATAACTAACAGGAAAATAAATTTTTACCTATCCAAAATTTGTTACAAAAATCTATGGGATTTTTTTCTATATTATTTTGAGTTTTTTAGGATAATTGTAGAAATATTTATCCTTCTAATATATAATTTTTGGACGTCCAAAGTTTTATATCTGTACAATTATAATATCATCAGTAAGTGATAATATTTTAATTTCTAATTAATCATATATTTTCTCATACGCTCTAAATATATTTGACGTATTGAATTTTATTTCATACATTAGCTTTTTAAAACCTGAATATTATAAAAGTAAATATTCAGTAAATATTAATTAACTTTTATTTATAAACTAAAACATTAAATTAAGATATTAAAAATCATTAATGTATATTTAAGTTGATAAAAATTGAAGAAATAATACTTATATTATTTGGTGTATAAATGATCAGGTTAGATGTCATATATTACGTCTGCAGTTTCTATCGTTTTTCTCATCAAACAAAATATTTCAGTAAGAGATGTAATGAAGAATGATTTAACTTATTCAATTATAAAGTTAAAAATGAACTTTGACCAATGAAACACTGGTACCATTATAATAGTGCCATTTTTCTGAAAAATACTATTTACTTTTATATAAAAAAAAATAATGAAATTATAATTAAGGCAGGTGAAGTTTGATATTTTGGACAAATAATTTTACCGAATCAATTTACTACCAATAAAAAATGTTTAATGAAGGAAAAAATCTTTTAAATCACAATAGCGCAAAAGTGATATTATAAAGTATTTGGAGATTAAGAATAAGAACGAATATTTTTAGTAAGATAGATATTTTTTTTTTGTTTTTTTTGAAAAAGGGCATAGTAAGATAGATATTAAAACACAGATAAGAAAGCTAATGAGAAAGTAAGTCTTGAACATATTATCCAAATAAAACATCAATTTGGGACCGAAACAAAAAACAAACTAAAACCAAACCAAAATTTTGAAAAACCCAAACAGTTAATATTTCTAAAAACCCGCAAACCAAAACTAAAATCAGAACCAAACCAAAAATCGAACATGTATTCAAATATTTGAAATATAATTAAAAATATTAATTATCATAATATATAATATAATTTATAAATTAAAATATGCAAAATCCTTAATTACCTAAACTATACCCTTTTGGATTTCTAGAGTTAATTCGGGTTTTTGAAGGTTTTTGAGATTTATAACTTTAAACATGAATCAAAATCACATTATTTCTAAATCAGTGTCATTTTGGGTTTAAAAAAATATAAATACAAACCGAATCCGACATACTCGAATTGAACCGATCTAGAAAATATCTGGTTGTTACACGGGTCTTAAACACCCTTAACAGAATAATTCAAAAAAATATAAATGTGAACACAATTCGATATTACTCGAACTAGACCAACCTGAAAAATGTAACAGATCCTAAACACCCAACCAAAATAACTCGAAAACTGAATAACCTGAAAAATTTGAAATAAAACTTTAGTATCTAGCACTATGAGACGAGAATAAAATTATTTTTAATTATAGACATCAAAACTCAAATATTAAAATTCAAAAAAAAAATATAGTAATTTCTAAATTCGAAAAATTAACCAAAAACTTATTTTGTGCTTTCAAAGCGCGGGTCAAAATCCAGTATTATATTAAAACTCCCTAAAAGGGGGATTGGATAATACATTAACCACCGGAGAAATGTTGGCAAGACCAGTTTTGTATATGTTTTAACGATAAGAGAGGTTTTTTTGGTATTTGAAATGTTGAATTTAGACAAAATCTAAAAGATATAATAATCAAGTTTTTTCAATCTTAAAATGTATGCTAAAATGATAAGTTTAGCTAATTTTTCTTATAAAAATTAACATTCTTTTCAATAGATAATTAAATTAAATTAAATTAACTAATTAAATGGTCTTATACAAATTTTTGTTCTAGAACTCTTCAACAAGTTAAGCCGGCCCTGAGTACGCTTAAGAATCAACTGGATAAGATCATTATGGACGCTTTTGTCTGACTCTTGCGACTTGAACATTGGGTGACGAATGTAAGCTAAAATAATAAGCTTAACTAATTTTTTTAAATTAACATTCTTGTAATAGTAAATTAAATTAATAATTAAAGGGTTTTAAACAAATTTTTGTTTAGGGCCCTTCAACAAGTTAAACTGGGTTTGCCAATAGAGACAACCAAAAATATTCAAACTTATTTAAATTTGCAAGTCAAATGGAAATTGCATTGGTTAGAGTAATAGGCAAGATCCACATCTTAAGAAAATACTCCCTCCGTTCCTTAAAGATACATATTCTAGAAAAAAAAAATTGTTTTTAAAAGATCCATTTTTTACAATTTCAATGCATGTTTTATTAACTAATTGTAAACTTCAAAAAAACTTAATTGCACTAATTGATTTTTTTATTGGTTTAAAATTATGGAAAGAAGATAAATACAAAAAACTATGCAAATTTATTGTGTTTTATTAAAAAGTGTGAAAAATCTAGAATTTGGATATTTTAGGAACAGAAGGAGTATATAATACCACTACTTGATAATCAAATCAAGGAGCCCAGTAATGATGCTCAAATATCGAGCTCACTTACTTCCATGGACACCAGCCACCTTTCACGTGTCCATATTTGTATTTAAATATATACTAGATTTTGACCCGCGCTTAAAAGTACGGAAATTTTTTATGATTAAAAATTTATATAATTAGGTTTTGTCATAATTTAAATAATATTTTGATATAAAAT